TATTTACCCAAATGAGTTGAAAACTATGTCCATACCACAAACCTATACATAAAGTTTTGTAGCAGCTTTATTCATAATTGCCCAAACTTGGAAGCAACTAAGATGTCCTTCAGTAGTTGAATGGATTAACTGTAATATATCCATGCAATGAAATATTATTCAGTGTTTTAAAGGAAATGAGCTTGCAGGATACAAGATCAATACCCCAAAATCAATTGTATTTCTATATACTAGCAATGAATAACCCTAAAATAAAATTAAGAAAATAATTTTATTTATAGTAAGATCAACATACACCACATGATATTTTGGTTCAAAAACCTCCAATGATTTTCCTTCTTGTTTAGAGGACAATTCCAATGTTCGCATCATGTCCTATAAGGCTCAACAACGCTCTTACTCCAAGCCGCTTACCTGCCCTCACGGCCTTCCCTTGTCTCTCCTGTTCACTCTGCTTCTGTCTCACTTGATCTTTTCCGTTTTTCAAGTACGCGGGCGCCGCTCGAACCCTGCCGCCAGACGGACAGCCGCGGGCTGCTCCTCCCCGCGCCCGCCGTCCCCGCCAGTGCCAGCGGACTGCGAAGGCTCGTCACCGACAGGGGACAACACACCGCGCTACCTCCTTGCTCTTTGCCCCTCACGCTGCCGAGCGCGCGCAGCTTTTGTTTACTGTTCTGTAAGTTTCGCTTATAAATGTTCAAGCTTATAATGGAAAAGCAGTGTGAACAGGTAATGGACACCCTAACCATTCACATGGTTTTATCTGCTTAAGTGCGTATTTCCCAAGAACGAGATCATTCTTTTAAAGTATCACAATAAAATTACCGCATCAGGAAAAATTATGTTGATTCAATTCTATTATCTAATATTTAAATGACTCCGTCGTTCCAGTAACATTATTTATAGCTTTTTAATTTCCAATCCAAGATCCTATCAAGGATCAGACATTGAATTCTATTATGTCCCTGTGGTTACCTTTGACCTAGCACAGTTCCCTGGACTTCTTTTGTCTTTCATGTTATTAAAACTTTGTAGAATGTCTTTTAATTCCAATGTACTTCATTATTTCCTCATGATTAGAGTCCACTCAAACATTTTTGGCAGGAATATCACCTAAGTAACGTCTTCTTTTCCCGTCAGGGACACGTGATGTTGCCTAGCTGTATTTACCTTCTCCTCATTTTCTTGCTTGTTTATTTTCTTTCTCCTGTCAGAACATAAATTCCATGGACATATCTCTGTGTCTCCATGTTCACTCATTCTTCCCCAAATTTCCCAGCCGCTTCGTGAGGATCCGTTGCGTGCCTTGAACAGCGTGGAACAGCGGAACCCCACGGCGGCGGAGAGGCGGCCTGACGCGGCCCGTCAGAGCGGGGCACCGCGGAACCCACCCTGTTGACTGTCCGCACTTGGGCCCCGGCGGCCGGACGCGCCCCCCTCAGAGCAGGGCACCGGGGAACCCACACTGCTGACTGTCCGCACACGGGCCCCGGCGGCCGGACGCGCCCCCCTCAGAGCAGGGCACCGGGGAACCCACCCTGCTGACCATCCGCACACGGGCCCCGGCGGCCGGACGCGGCCCCTCAGAGCGGGGTACCGGGGAACCCACCCTGCTGACCATCCGCACACGGGCCCCGGCGGCCGGACGCGGCCCCTCAGAGCGGGGTACCGGGGAACCCACACTGCTGACCGTCCGCACACGGGCCCCCGCGGCCGGACGCGCCCCCCTCAGAGCAGGGCACCGGGGAACCCACACTGCTGGGCCCCGCGGCCGGACGCCGGCGAGTCCCGCCCCGCGCGCCTCTGGGGCCGTGTGCGGCTGGTACGGAGACAGCGCAGGCTCGTGGTGACGGCGGCGCGCCAGAGCGGCTCCCGTGCGGCGTGGAGCCACGCGACGGCGAGGACTGCGGCGCTCCCGAGCCGCAGTAAGTCACAGGGACGACTGTGCTCTTTCTTTTCATTCAAACAGAACAAACTCGTATAAAAAGTTGAGACAGGAGACATTTCCGGAAGGAATATCAAAGGCCAACACTCGCCTGGCGTGGCCGCGACGCCTTGCGTCCCGGCCCTGCGAGGTGAGGGCAGGCGGCGGCGCCGGAGGCGGTGGAGTGGCGCCTCTGCGTTAGATTCTGTCGGGGCAGCCGGGACCTCGCTGCTGAAGGCGGTTTCTTGAAAAGGGTTTCTAGGCAAGTTATCAACTCCTCTGGGACACAACTAAAGCAGTTCTGAGAGGAAAGTTGATCTCCGTAAATGCCTATAACCAAAAGTCAAAAAGATCACAAATAGACAATCTAACGAAACGACTCAAGGAGCTGGAAAAAGAACAGACTAGCCCCAAACCCAGCAGAAGAAGTGAAATAAACAAGTTCAAATCAGAACTAAACGAAATTGAAAACAGGGAAGCTATTCAGGAGATTAATAAAACAAAAAGTTGGTTCTTTGAAAAAATAAACAAAATTGACACACCACTGGCTAAGCTAGCGAAAAGCAGAAAAGAGAAATCTCTAATAAGCTCCATCAGGAACAAAAAAGGAGATGTCACAACTGATCCCAAAGAGATACAAGATACAATTTATGAGTACTACAAAAATCTTTATGCACACAAACTGGAAAATCTGGAGGAAATGGACAAATTTCTAGAAACACACAGCCTCCCTAGGCCCAACCAGGAAGAAATAGATTCCCTGAACAGACAATCTCAAGACTGAAATAGAAACAGCAATTAAAAATCTCCTAAAAAGAAAAGTCCGGTCCTGATGGCTTCACACCGCGAATTTTTACCACACTTACAAAGAAGAACTAGAACCTATCTTGCAGAAACTATTCCACAACATCGAGAAGAACGGAAACCTCCCCGACACCTTTTATGAAGCGAATATTACTCTGATACCAAAACCAGGAAAGGATGCAACAAAAAAAGAACACTACAGACCAATATCCCTAATGAATATAGATGCAAAAATTTTCAACAAAATCTTAGCTAACCGAATCCAGATGCTTATCAAAAAAATAATCCATCACGACCAAGTGGGCTTCATCCCAGGGATGCAGGGATGGTTCAACATACGTAAATCTATAAATGCAATTCACCACATAAACAGAAGCAAAACAAAGACCACATGATTCTCTCAATAGATGCAGAAAAAGCTTTTGACAAAATTCAACACCCTTTCATGATACGAACACTTAAGAAAATAGGCATAGCAGGGACATACCTAAAACTGATACAAGACACATATGACATACCCCCCCCCAAAAAAAAAACGGGTGTCTAGGGTTGCCGGCATAGTCCGTTCCTTCTTTTCGGCACAAATGGCCTTGGAGCGCCCATGTCCTCACGGCACGGTGAACCTGGGTAGACCGCTCAATGTCAGGGCCTTGCCACTTGAACTTGGCCAATCCAGCTTCAGTGAGATGAAATTCTGCAGCTCGTTCTTTTGCGTGAACTCCCTTGGCTCTGGGTCTTCCGAGGCCTCGCGCCCTCGCGTTTCCGTCGGCTGCTTCTCCATCTGTCTGGGAGACCAGCCCCAGCGCAGAGATGCCGCGGGAAAGGAATCGCTTACGCCATGCAAGTCTGTTCACATGCACAGAAGGAACTAGTTCTTGAATTATTAAAGTACTTAATTATAAATTATCTATATGGGGAGGCTTGGGAGCACAGTCGTAAGTATGAATGCCTGTAAACCTATTTATCCATTGTACAGTATATCCTACTATTCTAACACATTACATTCTAAATGTACACATAAAAGTTTTTAAAAATGAGTTAATAAGTAAATATAGATAGTAATATTTTCTTTCCACACCTGAATGACATGCTTTGCCTTTTCCTGTGGGTGTATAAATTTCCATTTTGAAGATTGCTGTTTTTATTTATCCTTGAGCAGAGAAGTGGTGGTGTCTTGGGTGTCCATAGGGGTCTCTTCACTAATCAGAATTTTGGGAGGGGCCCCAGAATTCTTAGCTGGGTTTGGACAATAATATCTTGTCTTATGCTTATAAATAGACCTTCCTAAGAGGCCCCTAAATGTCACTCAAAGTTGACAGTATTTAAGATAAAGATGCTCCAGATCTCAATTTTTTACTTCTAGATGTTTAGCCAGGAAATTTCTTTCGTTCTTGGAAAATGGTAAATTCTCAGGGGACAGCCCTTCCAGACCAGGCTTTAAATGATGCAGCCCAGAATGTTGCTAGGAATCTGAATCATCTAGCATGCCTTTGAAAATCAGTCCCATAATTATGTGAAAGGCTCCTTTAATTAAATCCATGTTTCAGGATGCTTAATCCAAACTGAAACATTCCAAAAGTGTACTTACCGAAAATAACATATTGTGACCGTTTGAAACCCTGTTGCTTTAAATCAGCTACACTATAGTGGGTCCTTTAGTGTCGGGGTCTTTGTCCCCAATTCAAAGTCTCATTTAAGAAGGATGGCTTCCATAAAGTGCAGTATCAATTCACATTCTTGTTTCTTTACAAAAAAATTTTTTGGTATACCAAATCCATATGAACTCTCCTTTTCTTATAAAATTTCATAAATATGTTTGTCTTCAAATCTTTAGTAGTGTACATTTTTAATATTTGATTTTTATTTTTAAAGTCATCCTTCACTATAGTCCTGTGATTTAGGTCAAGGTTGAATAAAAGAATCACCTATCAAGTTGTAATAACCAAGGCTTTCAGAAAGGTTAGTTGTCTTCCCTTGTGAAACATAGGTTTCCTGGGAAAGTAGGATTTTGCTTCATCTCTTGAATCATGTGTTCTCAGTATTCCCAAAGTTACCTATGGTGGTTGAGTGCTTCATAAATGTATGATGTCACTTGTTTAAATTAAGGAGATAGGGTCTTAATATTTTTCTAAACAATTCAGAATTTTTCAGACGTAAGCTTAACACTTTGAGACTTCAGAAAGCCATCAGTGATACACTGTTTATTTCAAAGGAGTATAGAGCTCCTAAGGGGAAGAAAAGCTCAGTCAGTATGTTTGGCAAAAGTTATTGGAGAACATTTAAAAGATTTTAGAAATAATTGCTGCTCAATTTTTTATTTGGGACACGTTGTCATTTTCCTTGTAAGTCTGTGAGTGATTTAAAAGGTCCTTTTAGTCCATCTCATTAGACAGAAATTGTTGACTCTATAAACAAGACATTTTAAAAGATGATGTCTAGAGATTCATAAGCAGGAAAAAAGCACCATGCATTGAAAGTGTGCACACACACCCCACACACACCTTTCGTGCAGAGCTCGTGACTGCAGTCGCTGGGCTCTGCCCTGGTGTGCAGCGTGCAACTGCAGAGTTTCCTAAGCATCTCAGGTGCCTTCTACACACTTGATCGTCTCCAGCTGTCCATCGTTGTTGGCAGGGCGTCCTTTGGAAGGTCTGCTCTACTCAGGAGGTGATCTGGTGCCAGTCTCTCACAGAGAAAGAGACAAAAAAAAAGTCTGTAATTTAAATAAAATATAGTGGTATAATAAAATTGGCATGGAGGCAAAATGCCCTGAAAATCTCAATATCCTGAACAAAATTCCGTTTCCGAAGAAGAGAGCTTTCCCAAAACACTTTAAAAGCTCTTACTCAATGATAAAGCTTCTCCAGGAAACATACCTTCCTTTACCCTCAGTCAGAAGTTACTTGGGTTATTATGTCAGGAAAACATCTCAGAGGCATGCATTTTTTAAATTAAAAACTGGCTTTGCTTAAAGTAAAAAGACAGAAATGGTCTTGGATTATATTTTCCATAGAGGCACCTGCTTTGGGTGCAACCACACATAGAAGGATTTTGGCATAGTAACTTGTCCAACCCATTCAAGGGATGATATTTTGGATACTGCTCATGGCACATTTTAAAGGCAGTTTTTAGTGTTCTGTCTAGACTTATGTTCTGAGGTCAGCATACAGCCTTAGGAGGCTGCTTGTTGGTTGAAATAAGAGAGGAGACAAGGAAATTCAAATTAAAGCCTCACTCTTCTTAGTGAGGCTGTGCCTGAGGCTGCAGGGCTTTTGGGGAGAGCACTGTTTTAAGAGGCAAATATGTCAATATCAGCCAAAGGAACTGTCTTCAGTGCCAATATTATCCTTGCATCCTTATAATGCATTTTAAATTCTAGAATTATTATGTGTATTATTATATGCCAAGAACATTACCTTTGATGAATGAAACATATGATGACTTGAGTCATTTGAGAAAATCATCACAATTATTCTTGTGTGTGAAATATATGTATATATTTCTTCTGGCAATGTTAAACATCTTTTTAGTCTAGCTATTATTTGATTGACTAATATTGAGAACAACCTTATAAAATGTGTCACTTTATGGGATATTTCAAATACTAAAGAGAATTGTGCCCGCTGATACATGGTGTCCTGTCATTTGGTAACTGTTTGAGAAACACTTAGAAGGTCACCCACACCAGAGATGGGCTCTACCTGAGTGGGTATATCCAACACATGGTTTTTCTTTCATTTTTTTTTTTTTTTTAGGGATTGAATTATTTATTGTATATTTACCTGCTTTAATACAAGTAGTGACTATTAAACAGTTATTAGGTGCCAGGCAGTGCTATACATTATCTTTCATTTTTAATGATTTTTTTTTATTTTAGCGTATTATGGGGGTACAAGTGTTAAGGTTACGTATCTTGCTCATGCCCCACCCCTTGAGTTAGAGCCCCAAACGTTGCAATCTTCATAAACATCTTATGTGGGAATTCTCAGCCCCATTTCACAGGTGGGGAAACCAAGGCTAAGCAGCACAGCAGCTTCTGTGAGATTCTTAATCCAAGCCCTACAGATTTTAACATGAACAGCAAAATCTAAATGAAAAATTTTCATGTCTTTGAGAACCATTCAATAGAAGTTGTTTCCCTGATATTTAAAATAAACATTGATCATTGTATGCTATATTATATAAAAAGTAAAGTACTCATCATGTGCTTTACTGTTTTTCCAGTTTAGTCCTTACTCCAGCCCCATTTTACATATGAGTATACTAAGGTACGAGTTATTAAGTAACGTGGCCAAGAACACTCAGCTACAAAATGCTGGGTCAAGACTTAAATACTCAACTCTGACTCCAGAACTCATGTTTTTAAATCATGGTTTTATGCTGCTTTTATGCTTTTTATTTTTCCTTTGATATTAACCCCAATGTCCAAAAAGCTTATATTCCTTTAAATCAGGTGTTTTTTAAAAATCTCTAAAAGGGTATGAAAAATTATATGTGCATATAGACACAGGTTTATATATTTCTTCTAGAAATAAGTTCCATAAGGTTTTCAAGCTTATCTGTGACTGAAAATGGTTAAGAACCTTGAGAGAGCAGTATTTTAGTAAGTAGTGAAGAATGACTCCACTGCTCTGAATAATTGGATACGTCATTAGACCTTTTAAGAATATGTAATGTATATGAAAACTACATGTTGATCTGTGCATAAGAAAAATGTATGGTTTGTGGTTACTTATATTTTTACCAATAACATTCCATAAATTGTTGCAATTATGGTGTTCTTCAAATTTTAGATTTAGTTTATGTCACCTTAGAAACCAGAAAGAACTGCTGTGTTCCAAATTATAAGTGATTGAAAATATGTACTTTATGTTTGGAATGTTACTCAGAAAACATATTTTCTTCCTCTTGTATACACTAACATAACGAGAAAACATGACATTCTTGTGGGGTGAGGCATAACAATGCACAAAGAGGAAACTGATGAAACCAAAGGAAAATAATTGTTAAATCGTGACTGCCCCTGTGATAAGCCAGATGTGTCAAAAGTAGTATTTTTCTGTAACAAAAATTAGGGAGGAAATAAAATTAATGTCATAAGATATGTAGCAATGATCCTAATTGATGTTTATTAAGAGTAATAAAATGTTTTTAAGAATTAGGTCAATCTATAGCTGGCTTTATATTTCTTGTTCTAATCAACTTGTAAGTACAAGATTTATTCTTTTTCACTGAGATCATAATCCTGTCTCTCTCCTATACCTTAAAATTCTCTTTTCATCTCAGTATATTAACATGATCAAATCTTTCTCATCTTATAACCGTCTTCTCAATGCATTTTCAATGTATTGACCTCTCTTTCCTTCCTTTCATATCCAATATAAGTCTAACTCATTACTTCAATGTTCTTGCTAGGGTTGTAGACACTCCCCAATACTACCTTCTATTGTCAATTTTCAGACATCAACTTAAATAGTGACTGAGACACATGATACTATTAAATATGCTCTTAAAATTCTCTATTTTGTTTCTGTAGCACTGCTTCAAGTTTTCTCGTGGCTACATCTTAGTCTCTGTCATGGGTTCCTTTTCTTTTCCAACTCTTTAAATGCTGGTGGTCCCCAGGGCTCTGTAGTTAACCTTTGTTTGTCTTTTCTCATTCTATATCCCCCTCTCCTGCCCTCACATATTATTCTGAACCTTGGTTTCAACTACCACCTAAATCATGAAAATATTTATATAGGGGATCATTTCATAAAGATAAAGGGGAAAATTCACCAACAGAATATGAAAGTATCAAATATTTATGTACCTAATAACATGAAGGAAAAACTGATAGAACTGCAAGCAGAAATAGACAAATATACAATTTCAGTTGCCGATTTTCTTACCTCTTTCTCAGTAATTGCTTGAAGAAGTAGGCAGAATATTAGTACTGTGTTTCTTCAAAAATAAGACCTACCCATAAAATAAGCCCTAGCAGGATTTCTAAGCATGTGCGCGATATAAGCCCTAACCTGAAAATAAGACCTAGTGACGGGCATGGCTACACAGCGCATCTGCACAACCTGTGCCTTTTGTGGCAGAGCAGTAAAGACGAGGAGCAGCCCTTCTCATCCGCCCCATGAGAGCTCTATGGCTCGACAGGAGAGATTGGGGCCAATGGTTCTAAAGGAAATAGAGTCGAAAGACATTCAGGATGGAATTTGGGGTTTGGAGAGTTATGATGATGTTCCAGAAGAAGACGACTTAACTATATTTGAATCAATGTAGATTGTTGCACCATACTTAAAAAAATAACACATCCCCTGAAAATAAGCCGTAGGGTGTCTTCTTGAGGAAAAATAAATATAAGACTCTGTCTTATTTTTGGGGAAACATGGTATATAGAAAACTTCAACCAGGTGGATCTTGACATTGTCATTTATGAAACATTTATAAATCTATATCTATGTAAAAAATTGAATTCATAATTCAAAAGTTCTCCCCCCACATAAACTTCAGGGCTTCACTGATCAATACTACCATATATTTAGGAAGAAATTGTACCAACTGTACATATACTGTTTTAGGAAATGGAGGAATCAGGAACACTCCCTAACTCATTTTATGAGTTCAGCATCACTCTGGGTCCAAAACTAGATATTGAAAGTACAGAAAACTTCAGGCAAATACCCTTCTAAGCTTTGATGTAAATATTATTAATAAAATAAAATCATACCTGGTAACATAACAAGAGGACAATACATCATGATCATGTGGGGTCTTATTTCAAGAATCTAAGGTTCATTAGCCTTTGAAAATCAATCAATAAATTCACTATATTATGAGCATTGAGGAGAAAGTCATATGACCATATCAATCAATACTACTTGGAATTGACAAAATTCAACACCCATTTATTTAACAATTTTCAGCAAATTAAGGATATAAAGGAACTTTCTCAGCCTAAAAAAATAAAAAGGTGTCTATGAAAAACTTAAAACTAGCATCATACTTAATCAAAGACTGAATGTTTTTCCTTAAGATCAGAAAGTGGCATGTAGGTTTGCTCTCAAGACTTTTATTAAACATTGCACCATGGCCTGTAATAAAGCAGGCTAAAGAAAAGGAAAAGACATACAACTTGGAAAGGATGATGACATAGCTAACCCAAAGGAATCTACAAAAAAGCTACTAAAACTGTTAAACACATTTAGCAGAGTGGCACAATATAAAGCTGAAATTCCAAAAATCCAAACAGTATATTTTTATATGTTAGTAATGGACAAATGGAAAATGAAATTTTAAAATTACCACTTAAGCATATAAAATATAACATACTTATGGATAAATACAACAGCATATGTGTAAGAACTGTATACCAAAATTATATACCAAAAAATTCTAAGAGAAATACCTAAATATATATTGCAATATACCATGCCCATGAATCGGAAGGCTCAACATTGTTAAAATGTTAGTTCTCTTCAAATTGATCTTCAAAATTGATTTTATGCAAATCTGATCAAAATTCCAGTAGAATTTTAAAAATGTAAATTGACAGTATGATTCTAACATTTATGTGGAAATATAAAAGAACTAGAATAGACAAAACAATTTTGAAAATGAAGGACAAAGTTGGGAGACACACTGTTTGATTTCAAGACTTATAAAATTATACTTATTAAAAAAGAGTAGTATTAGTTTTAGGATAGTTATGTAGATCAATAG